CCCCCCCCCCCCCCCCCATATAGATGATCCGATTCCTACACAATTTTTCTGGCATTTAAGGCTGACTGACTCACTGTTTCTTTGAAAACATATTTCCCACACCAGGTTATATGTTAAAAGGCTGATTCTTACAAGTAAAATGATGCAGGGGTGCAGACTGCTGACAGTAAATGGAAAGTATTTTGGAAAAAATTCCATTTTCATTGGTACTTCTTTCATGAGTACTTCTCAGAAGTCTGATTCCTAGAGGTAAAATTTTGAACAGAGCTCATCCATAGGGCGGTTCAGATAAGAAATGAAATGACCAATCAAAAGCATCTTTCATATTCATAAATACGTACTTTTGCCAACTTTTCCAAGGTCAGCTTCAGCGACGTTAATTAGGAAGGCAAATATGAGCAACATTGATCCAATAACTTTAAAACAGTCCATGTTTTTCAACCAAAATTGAACGACTGAATATATATAACAGTGGAGTAAACAAACGATCGAGATAATGTTAGGGAAATGGAATTAGTGGCAAATTACAAGAAATAATAACTACAAAATAACTTAATGTGGCTGATCCAATGACCAATTGATACAGCTTTTATTTGTGACATACAGTAGAACCCCACTTACTCGAACTGGCGTTCGAATTAACAAGGTCGGTGTTGAATTTCGTTTATTATGTTAATAATTAATAAGGTATAGTCGTTTTATTATTCATGATCATCCTAATTGTGAGACATTACGGTGCACTCTAAAGAACTGACAGAGTTTGTACTACTGTTAGCTAAGTTATAGCACAGTGTTTGGCAAAGTTTACTTTGCAAATAATTTAAAATCCGTATGTTATATAAACAGTGGAACTAAGAATAAATCCCATGGCCAGCTCAGTTTAATATTAATAGCGGGGTTCCACTGCATATATAAACCACAGCCTATTGAAGGGGAGATGGCTGGGAAACTCCATCATTAGAATAACAATATTTAACAATTATTCACCAAAGGCGAGGTGATTATCGGGGAATATTCACCAAGGCGAAGTCGAGGTGAATATTGAATATTCCCCGATATAATCACCGAACCTGAGGCGAATAATTGTTTTAGTATTTTTACACAAGTCTTTTGTGCTTTTTGGGACTGAATTTATTTTAATTTCGCTTATTTCTTTATCGATCAGTAACTTTCACAAAACGGCTAGCCGTCATTTTGCAAATTTCGGTTTTGTTATATTCACCTGTAGATGAATATAACAGCTTAGTATAATTCTAAGCAATTTTTGAAATGGCAGCCAAAGTCATTTTGTCAATTAAATGACAAAGAAATGTGTCTTTTTAATTTTTTCCCAAATAATCACCTATGAAATTATACTAAAACAATTATTTACCTCAGGCTTGGTGATTATTGTGAATAAAAACCTCGACTTCATCTCGGTTTTTATTCACCAATAATCACCTCGCCTTCAGCCAATAATTGTTAATTATTATACATTGTAGTTGGTAAAAGCAATTTGATTGGCTAAGAGCTTACAGTTAAATCACGCAACTTACAGAAAATTCAGTTATCTGCTACTACAACTACATACTAAAACTCCCATTTATTTATGTTTAATAGTCAACATTTTATATTCATAAATATGGTCCTTCACCTTCACGTGTGTATTTTTGCCCAACTATAAAGCAATAGCAATGTTTTAGGAAAGTTACCTATCTGTGACTCGAACAATAGGGTAATTGGAAATTGCTATTGGTGGATTTGGCACAAATACGAGCACAATGACAATTTCCTCACCTTCGATAGGCTTTGATATAACAAACACTGTCAATGTCGGCTGCAGGTGTCTTCAGTTCACGCTGCCAAATCAAATACCTGCATATATTCCCTTATTATCAATATAATCGTTTCCTACCGTCCACATACGTTTTATAACTTTTATTATTTTCGTGTTTTTCAGTCATTGTTTCTGTTTCAGTCTGTTCCCTCCATATTTTCATACTTCATGCTGTCATGCAATATGAGGCGATGAGCATGCCCGTTCGCAGGTTAGGGTTGGGCGTTGTGAAAACCCGGAATGCCGGAATATCACGGAATATGCCGGAATATCACGGAATATGCCGGAATATTGCGACATTTTCCCGGAATATACCGGAACATCACGATATTTT